GGAAACACAGGATCAGTCTTAGCATCCTTGGTCATGCTTACATATGTATTTAATTTTACACCCATTAAAGTCAATAGGAATACTCATGCATTTAGATCTAAGCATTCATGTAATTATTTGAAGGACTAGAGCCAATGTTTGTAAAGTGGGTTGGATGTAGCACTACATAAGAGATAAATATGATGATTATCATAGTTCAGTTTCAATGCAATACTTGACTGGATTTGGCAGGTCAAGACAAAGTAATTAAAGTGAATGAAGAACTGCTTTCATATCTCTTTGGCTTTATGTTAATTTTCCACCAGTTTTCTGTCATCCTCTATAGATGATCTCAGTACAGGAATGAATAATATAGTTAAGATTATTTGACTTTTGTTGTTGTGTTGTAATTTTGTACTAAGAACTGATATATTCAGGGTGAGGGGCTTTTACTTACTTATAATAGAAAAAATGAATTACTGAGTATATGCGTTTCCACAAATAGAAAGAAAATGTTGAGGGTGTCAAAGTAAATAACTGTCCGTCTGCAGATTTTAAAAAAAAGACACCCTTCATACTCAAGGGCCCTTGTGCCAATTTGCATGATGATTAAATAGTTTTTAATTGCCGTTAAATTATGCCAGCTAAACTGTGATTTCATGCAAATATTAAGCTGTAATGACATGCAGTGAATCATTTACTAAGATTTAGAACTTGGACCAAAAAAAAAAAAAAAAAAAAAAAGAGACAATTAATTCTAATCCTCAGATTCAGCTAAATTAGGTGTCACTGGGCTTTTATGAATGCAGTATGATTGCTTTGTTATCATTTATAAATTATACAAAGATTATTTGACACCTTAAAAAAATTGGCAGCAATAACCCTTATGCAGACATCTGTGTGCAAAGCTCTTAGGGATTTCCTTATATTGTGTGGTGGTTTTTAAGGGAAACAAATAGACTGGTGAAAATGAAGGATTTATTGCACCCTCTCCTTTCAGTAAACATCATGGCTTTTCTGATTATGTATAATAAAGTCAATTATTGTTAATACTAAATATCAGATACTATCTACATAAGAAAGTACTGTTTTACTTCTGTTTGAATGAAAGACATCATGAAAGGGAAGTCTGCTGAAATCATTTAAACATTACAAAGGGCAGCATGGGTCTCTCTGCATTAGCCACGTATAGCCTGGCACAAAAGGCTACAGATGGCAGCCATAAACATAAATTTACAAGGATTTATCATGGTCACAATACCTTATACTACTCAGATGGAGGAATGCTTGCAGAAGCTATTCCAATATGCAGGCTGTATCATCAATCACATAGGGCATGGAGGGGCCTGAACAGTACCCCCCCAACTGATCACGGGTTATAGAGTAGAGTGGATTTCACCTCATAGCCCTGCTGAGATCTCAGACACTTAACTATGTCTAAACAGCAGTCCCAGCTCAATGGAAGTGGATGACAAGAGAAGAGGGATAGAGTGAGTGGGGCAGAGCTTTGAGAAAGCAGTTGGGCCTTAGGGAAGAGGCAGGGTAGACCCTGGGCTGCCCTTCAATTTAAAAAAAAAAAAAAAAAAAAAAAGTGATCCTGGGCACTAAAAGGTTGGAGGCCACTGCTGTAGACCAAGGAGGAGATAACTGGAATCAGGATCTAATAGTATTCAGAAGTTAGCGTTTCCCTTCCCCAGTATCCACAATTCAAGAGATCAGCCTGTTTGTCCACAATTAAAAACTGTTGTTGGCCCTAAACTATGCAACGTATTGGATCAGAATACATTCTAAATTCTAGCACCACTGAAGTCACCAGTAAAACGCTCACTGGAGGAAAGGATTTCACCCTTGGATTTCCGGAATACTCAGAATTAGCACTAGAATTTTGTGCCTTGAGCCCATCACTAAAATAACTAATACATACATACATACATACAAGTAGTGCTAGTTGATACTGAGCCCCAAGTTAAATGAATAAACCAGTAAAATGGTCTTGCCTAATTATTAGAACAAGAGACCGTGTGCTAACAATGGTGGGTTCTATTCCTCTCTTTGTTACTTATTCTTCCTCTAAACTCTATAATTATTTACCTACTTATAAAATGGGACTGATATCCATCTCAGAGGGATATTGTGCATCTTCATTAATTCTGGTTTTTGAAGAGCTTTGGAGATCCAGAAATGAAAAGCACAAGTGTGCACACGGTACTATCATTACAGGCAGTCCCCGGGTTACGTACAAGATAGGGACTGTAGATTTGTTCTTAAGTTGAATTTGTATGTAAGTCGGAACTGGCGTCCAGATTCAGCCGCTGTTGAAACTGACCAGCAGCGGCTGAATCGAACACGCCTGGGGCAGAGCAGCTGGGGTGCTGCTGGGTTGGTCCCGCAGCGCCGCTCCTCGGCGCTACTGGACCAACCCGGCAGCACCCCAGC